GTGGTATTAAAACAGTGCTTGATGTATAATAGCAGACTCTCATGCACGTTCCAATCGTCAGATACGGATCGAAAACAAAATGCATATTTATTATTATAGTAGTCCATATATATATATATATATATCATAAAAGGTCTGGTCGAAAACACTAACATTCTATATAAATCACATTACCGGAAACATCACGCTATAAGAAAGGCCTCGTAGATAATCATCTCTTTTTCACTATCAACCATAGCTTATTTAAAAATAGTAAGGTTGTGTTGAAACATTAAAAAAAAAGAAAGACGCTCATTCGAATGCAAAATAACACAAAAATACATTTTAAGCAGTCAAAAGATGAAGAGAAATTAACAACACCTAAAGAAAATCCCCTTGAACATGGCTAAAGAAGTGGGCGAAAGCGCTTCAGGCAATGGACAATATGGATAAGTTTTGCACAGCCTTACTCCGACTGAACGGAAAATGTAAAAACACTGTAATACTAAATAAAAAAATTAATTAAATTTTTTCTAGAACGTCATATTTAACGAAATATGTTTAGAAGAAATGTCGCTGCCTAAATATACATTAATATATATATATATATATATATATATATATATATATATATATATATATATATATATATATATATAAGCAAATATAAATGGATATAAATCCGACAGAATGAAGAAATGTCAAAAAAAAACAAACAAAAATCCTTAAATGTAGTTAAATGAAAGAAATGTCGACGTCTGACGTTTCGGTTTATTAAACCTTTTTCAAGACAATATTCATCAAAAATACAATTCAGTTCAATATGACAAATACGATGGACATAAAAACACAAGTCTTATTCCGAACAGATAACTGAAAATTTTTAAAATGATCAGCCTTCCGTCTAACATGGTCACGTTGTCGTCACATGGGCGACGCTTTCAAAACGTATTCCTGAAAGTTTGTGATTATTTTGAAATGAAAAGAAAAAAAAGAAAATGAAAAGAATTCTATTAGGTTCTAAAATTTTTATGTGTATGCTTGTCGAGCATCAATCTCGCTAAAAAGGGAAATATTAAAGAAACCAGGTCTAGTATTCACCGTGCGTGAGATGGATATTATACCTGCTTCATAAATCCTCCTGAGATTTTTATTATGAAAATATTTTAATACTTTCACGGAATCGAAAAAAAATTATGATCTGCTTTAGTTGTGTGTACAACTAAAGCATTGTTAAAATTACCGAGACGAATATCTCGTTTATGTTCGAAAACACGAGATTTTAAGGACCTACCTGTTTCACCCACATATTTTAGGTCACAATTTTTGCATGATATTTCAGGCTCTCTTTTAAATAAGTTGAGAAATATTGATATAGATAACAAATTACTAGCTAGCTTAGACATCAAATCTTTATATACTAATATACCTGTTGATAAATGCATTAAACAATTAGAGAACCACCTTAAGAAAATTGACTTTAAGCTACCTATCTCGAAATGCATCAAATTATGCATCCTTTGCACTTCACATTGTTTCTTCCAATATAATAATATTTATTATAAACAAAAATTTGGTTTACCGATGGGGAGTCCTCTCTCTGGATTCCTAGCATGCATATTTCTAGAATTTCTTGAATCTGGACCTTTTAAAGATGTCATTCCATCTGATACACATTACTTTCGATACATCGATGACATTTTATTTATCTACCCACATAAGCATGATTTAAACGAGATTACTGATAGATTAAATAGAATAGAACCTACTATTGAATTTACCTATGAACTTGAATCTAATAATTCCTTACTTTTTTTTAGACATATTACTCATTAAAAATAAAAAATAAATTAGAATTCAAAGTATATCGTAAACCTACATGTAAAAATGACTATTTACATTTTTACTCTCACCATGATACTAACACTAAGAGGGGTATTGTTATTGGATTCTATTTGAGGGCTCTTCGCATCTGTTCATCAAAATATTTAAATGATGAATTTACATATATTGAGGATACCTTTTCAAATCTTTCGTATCCGAGACAATTATTACAGAGAGCTAAAAATAAAGCGTTGAAAATTCACTCATCAGCGCAAAATGACACCTCAAAGGCCACTACAAATAGATCAATGAAAGATACAATTTCAGCTACCTCTGATAATATTTCGTTTGGTCGCATCTTTTTACCAAATAACCATTTGACCGAACGTATCTCTCATAATCTAAATGCATTAAAAATTAGAACTACTATATTACCTACTAGGACTATCCGTAGTTTATTAAATAGCACCAGCAGACAACATATTACATCCGATGCTTGCATCTATCAAATATCATGCAAAAATTGTGACCTAAAATATGTGGGTGAAACAGGTAGGTCCTTAAAATCTCGTGTTTTCGAACATAAACGAGATATTCGTCTCGGTAATTTTAATAATTGTTTTTAGTTGTACACACAACTAAAGCAGATCATAATTTCGATTTCGATTCCGTGAAAGTATTAAAATATTTTCATAAAAAAAAATCTCAGGAGGATTTATGAAGCAGGTATAATATCCATCTCACGCACGGTGAATACTAGACCTAGTTTCTTTAATATTTCCCCCTTTTTTAGCGAGATTGATGCTCGACAAGCACACACATAAGAATTTTAGAACCTAATAGAATTCTTTTCATTTTTTTTTTTCTTTTTCATTTCAAAATAATCACAAACTTTCAGGAATACGTTATGAAAGCGTCGCCCATGTGACGACAGCGTGACCATGTTAGACGGAAGGCTGATCATTTTAAAAATTTTCAGTTATCTGTTCGGAATAAGACTTGTGTTTTTATGTCCATCGTATTTGTCATATTGAACTGAATTGTATTTTGATGAATATTGTCTTGAAAAAGGTTTAATAAAACCGAAACGTCAGACGTCGACATTTCTTTCATTTAACTACATTTAAGGATTTTTGTTTGTTTTTTCAAAATTTCTTCATATATATATATATATATATGCGTGTGTGTAAAAATTTATATATTTACAGTATATTGGTAAAAGGAAAATAGGAATAACGACAAAAAGAAAATTTTTTTTTTTTATATATATATATATATATATATATATATATATTTGTGTTTGTGTATGTGAGTATGAATAAAGAGAAATATATTCTGAAGTTTTTATATGTATATATATATATATATATATATATATATATATATATATATATATATATATATATATATATATATATATATATATATTGGGACTAGAATATCGAACGAACCTGAATCTGATAGTCGCGCCAGTAAATGTGTTGGGATCGAAATTTGAAACGATTTTAATTGTCGACTTACACTTAATTTTACGCACAGAGACACAAAATATATATATATATATATATATATAAATATATATATAAAAGAAATATGTTGTAGTGGTTCCAACGAGAGAAAAGTATGTATATATATATATATATACATATATATATATATGTGTGTGTGTGTGTGTGTGTGTGTGTGTGTGTGTGGACAAATGAAAGCGTGAGTGTTCTTGAAATGAATTCTATTATGAAAACAAAATGGATTTTCCGATGCGTTACATATGTTTTATTGTGCTTATGTCTCTAATACATATATCTGTACACGGTGGTCGACTTTTGCATCGTCAGCCATTACTACCAGATCTTGCCACAAATATTGTGTTCCCCGTTCTCGGTAATATTCTCACGCACCCCAGTGAATTACGAACCCTTACCCCAGTTCCTGCAACACTGCAGCATTATTTAGGCCAGTTGTTGCTGGTGGCCACCCACATTTATTAGAAATAAATATTTCATTCTTGCTTTAGTTTTTATCCCAATTCTGTTTTTGTTTTGCCACATTTTTTAAACCTCCTCTTTCTTCGCCCTTGTTTCTTTCTTTCTTTTTTCTTTCTTTCTTTCGGGCTCTATTTCTCTTTTATTTTCTTCTGATCTTCATTGGCTTTCTTTCTTTTTTTCTTTTTTCAATGTTATTTCTTTCTCCTGCATTTCCTTCTAATTACTAAACCGTTTCTTTCTTTCTTTCTTTCTTTCTTTCTTTCTTTCTTTCAGGTCTTATTTCTCTTTTAATTTCTTAAAATTTCCTATATCTTTTTCTTTCTTTTCAGCAAGTTTAATTTCCTCATTAATTTCCTTTTAATTTCTGTTTGTTTGTATTTGCTTGCTTCTGTCTTTCTTTCTTTCTTTCTTTCTTTCTTTCTTTTTTCTTTCTTTCTTTCTTTCTTTCTTTCTTTCAAGCTCTATATCTTCTTTCTTTCTTTCTTTCAAGATTTTTTCTTTCATTTTCTACAAATTTCCAATATCATTCTTTCTTTCTTTTCTTTCTTTCTTTCTTTCTTTCTTTCTTCTCTTTCTGAATTATGTTCTATTATTCTTTTATTCTCTTTGACTTCCTCTTCAAATTGATTGTCTAGCATTTGCTAACACAGACCTATTTAGATTCATTCGCAAGTCTTTTCTTTATTTCTAACGAAAATATCCTATCCTTTAACACTTTGATTCTGGAAAACATCTTTCGCTATTCCATTGCAACTTCGGACTTCTGTGTCACATTTTCCTTCATTTGTTATTACTTTACCCAGAGAGCTGAATTTCTGCATATGCATAACTTTGTCGTCCCAAAATGCATAAGACACATTTTTTTTTGTTTTTTTACAGTTAACACTACTTCCTTTCTCTCTTCTTTTTAAAGAGTTCTCTCAGTTCTTCGTTTGAATCAGTTATCAACACAATGAAATCTGCGTATCTTCTGTTAAGATTTTTTCCACTAGTAGATTTTCCAGTTTTCTTAGGATCGTCTCGTCGTATAGGTTTAATATATCCGGCGAGATGGCACATTGTCTTAATTCGCTTTTTATTTTACGCATTCACGGAACTTTATACGTGTACAGGTTGTTTATTCAATTCTACTATATTGCTAACCATTACCCAAAGTGCCCAAGAGTTTATTATCTGAAATGACTGCACATTGGCCGACGCATATAAATAGTTTTAGATAGATAGATAGATAGAATAGAAGGAATAAAAAAAAACTGGGATAGATAGATAAAATAGAAAGGATATTAAAAAAATGGGATAGATAGATAGATAGATAGACAGATAGAATAGAAAAACATGAAAAAAACTGGGATAGATAGATAGATAGATAGATAGATAGATAGATAGATAGATAGATAGAATAGAAAAAAACATGAAAAAAACTGGGATAGATAGATAGATAGATAGATAGATAGATAGATAGATAGATAGATAGATATTATCTGAAATGACTGTACATTGGCCGACGCATATAAATAGTTTTAGATAGATAGATAGATAGATAGATAGATAGATATATAGAATAGAAAGAATATAAAAAAAAAACTGGGATAGATAGATAGATAGATAGATAGATAGATAGATAGATAGATAGATTAGAAAGAACATGAAAAAAACGGGATAGATAGATAGATAGATAGATAGATAGATAGATAGATAGATAGATGTTTTACGGGGTTTAAAATATACACATATACTAACCTTTAGGGTAACTGACAGCGACGAGGCCTATTTGAAGAGGGCGCTGTGTCAGATGTCAGGGTGTCAATAGAAACATCTTTTTGCGTCATCCGCTCCCATATTCAACAGAAGTTAAAGAAACCTGGAATTACCTGCAGGATATGCGTTTAGTACCTCTTGACTGTAATGTGGATGTGACTTGAGCCAGTGTCATTAGTCTGTTACCACAATTTTAGCCAGGCATCCTTAGTCATAATAACTAATGACCTGTGATCAACCACTGCGATGTCCATGGTGGGCAGTAATGGCTCCCATTCGATACACACGTGACTTCATTAGTCGATGGATGTCCAATTTCTCAACAATTTCAGAAATAAAATGCCCCATCCGCTTAGAACTCCGATGTTCACGGTGGCAAGCTTGGTGTTAGAGCACTACTGATATAGGTCTAGGCAAATCCATGACATTAGGAAAGAGTTGCGCTGACTACCATTATCTTTGCATAATCTTATCCCATGACTTTTGACGCTTCAGTGTGTGTTAATTGTCTAGAATTGTCTAGAGTATATATTTACTTAGTTGCTTAGTCTCGCAGAGATCTGTAATATTGGGACACGCAGTGTGGACTATCTTACTTCTCTTGCATTAGGTTGTTCAGAAAATAATATGCGGGTTTAAAATAAAACTTTTAATTGTATTTTCATATATTATAAAATAGTTGCGTAAAACTACATTACGCATTCGTAATGATTAAAGTGTACTTAATGGGAATTTTATATCAATATCTTTCAAAATTTAACTTAAAATATTATATACTCCCCATCTTCAGCATGAAAAAAGAAGAGATGCCTTTACTTTTTTTTGCACGAGTATAGGCTTAGTCATAATGATTCTCAAACTGCTGCCAACGTTAACAGAGCATGATTTGAAAGGCCTAATTCTGATCGGAAGGTACAGTGCTGGTTTCTGAAATTCCGCAGTAGGGATACGAGCCTTAAAGATCAAGGTGGCGGAGAACGTCCGTCTGTAATTGACAATCAACATCTAAGAACGTTAGTTGAATAAAACACAAGTAAAAGTGTTAGAGAAATGGTTGTAAAAGTGTTAGAGAAAAGGGTGTAAAAGTGTTAGAGAAAAGGGTGTAAAAGTGTTAGAGAAATGGTTGTAAAAGTGTTAGAGAAAAGGGTGTAAAAGTGTTTGAGAAATGGTTGTAAAAGTGTTAGAGAAATGGTTGTAAAAGTGTTAGAGAAAAGGGTGTAAAAGTGATAGATGATGGGTGTGGGTGTTTCAACAATATCGGAGCACCGTAAGTAAATTGGAAAGATAAAGAAGCTTGACGTTTAGATATATGTTCGAATCTGCATCTGCGAAAATTCGAATGATTTATTTCTTGATAGAATAGTGATCTGGAATGATAAGTGGATCTTTTGGTTGGCTTGTTTTATTTTACGGGATATCAACATCAATGGGTTATTTAATTCCGAGGATTTTTTTTATTATTGCTGGTAATATTTTCTTTCAAAATAAAATATAGTTGGTAATATTTTTTTCTAAAAATGTATTGCTGGTAATTTTTTTTCAAAGTATTTCTGGTATGTATTAAAACCGATTTTTACACTTTCATAGTGTTTTGACCCCAGTTTAGGTGTCAACTATTTGCCCATAGCTGTGACCCTAACAGGTCAGGGTGGACCCGGGTCAGGGTGGACTTGGGAACACCAGCAATTAAGAGGTGGTCCCACGCTCCTCAAAACCTCCTGATCAGAGGCCTTGCTGCTGAATGTAGTTTATCGTCTTACCAAGGACCCGGGTGTAGTTTACCGTCATACCCAGGACGGAGTGGATTCTTTATGATAATCGTAAATGATTGACTCAATGGTTTGGTCATAACGAAAGAGCCAAGATTATGGTGACAGTCTGGTGATCTGCTATTGGAGGTATGCATTATAGTTTTCTGAATTCTAACCAGAATATCAATACCGAAGTTTACTGTCAGCAACTGGATGAAATGCATATTCAACAAAGCTAATTGGAACCAGCACTCTTTAATCGACCCGGTTCAATTCTACTTAATAACAATTTCCGACAACATGCTACTCGTATAACATTACAGAAGCTCACCGACTTGGGATACGAAACTTTCCACATACACCATATTGCCCTGATCACTCGTCTATTTATTACCACTTTTTCAACCATCTTTTTTTAAAACCAAAAAAGACATTCCGTTGCAAAGAAGATCCAAAAACTGCATTCCAACATTTCCTGGAGTCCAAACTTTTATAGTTTTATTGTAAAGGTATAAATAAACTTATAACTCGATGACAGAAATGTATAGATGTTCAAGGTTCCTATTTTGACTGATTTAAACACTGTTTAATTACATTAATTCAGGAATAAAATCAGACATTATTTCCCGAACAACCTAATACAAACAATGAGTTTAGAATGTATTGGCCATGGCCTGCAAAATGACTTTACTCTCTGTTGGTTGTGCTTCTTTCTTTTCCCCTCTGTACTGTCTCATATGTTAACCCTCCTTTCGCACTCACTATATATCTTTCTTTATCTTTCTCCCTCTTTTACTCTGTCATTCTTAGCGTTGTTGAAACAGTATCTCGCCAGATGTTTGTGTTAGCATTGATAAACGTAAGCTACTCGTTGGAACTACTCCTTCTTAAGTGTCTTGTTTATAGATGCGAATACAACAAGATTCGATTGTCGCCTGCTTTTATGCATTTGTCTGTTAACATTTTCGTCTGTTTTGCACAAGTCTCCGGGCGACAAGAAACTTTTCTCTTTTAATTGCTACGATTTACGTTTAACACTTAACATTACAGTGTCCAGTTTAGGAGGGGGGCAAATGAGATTGTGGTTAATGGGAAACGAACCAAAAGGGATTATGTCATATTTTTATGCTCAGCTTAGTTTTTCACAAAGTCACCTTCATAATAATCATAATCGTCAACATCCCTCCATAATGCAATTTCTAATACGAAACGAAATTTGAAGCGTCTGTTAGAGTGATTTTCCAAGCGTAGCTTAGATGTGGCAAAAGGCCGAAAGTAGGGGGGGGCACCCAGTGAGAATCGACCTCACTACTCAGTCGTAATTGTTCTAGCGAGACAGGCCTGCTAACCATTACACCGCCTCGAGGTGCCCAAATGATTTTCTAAGGCCGAAAGTATGGGGCATCCAGTGATGAAGCGTTTGTTATATACTAAGTTTAATCACACTAGCGATGATTAACTAAGCTAACTCGTTTACTATTACTCTATTTCGATGCGTCATAAAATATCTACTAATCTTCGTTTGTCATAAAGCAGCAACAATGTGTCAATGGATGAGACGCGAACTAAGTCATTAGTAGTAGTTGTTAAACCAGACTAATTCGTTAACCATTACCCAGTCTCAAAGCGGCCTGAACTGTTTTCTTAAGCTTTGACATGTGAAAAGACCACTGTCTGAGGCACCCTGTGTGGATCGAACTCACTACACAGTAGATGTCTTCGATCAGATTTGTTCGACAACCATTACACGTTGCAGTGCGATTCAAAATAGTAAGCTTTTGGAACAAGGCCTCAAGAATATGGCACCAATGAGGTGCTGAATTCACTAGTCTGTAGTAATGATCAACTAGAGTTGCCCGGTAACCATTATCCCACACTGACAAGACCAATATATTGTGAGGTTTGACTCAGAAGACTAGATAAATCAGGAATACTTGCATATTTGAGAACTGGGTTGTTTTTGGTGTAAAAAATAAAGACATCTTGTTAAATCCTTACTAGTATTTGAAAGTTTTCATGTGTGAGTATTTTAGCAATTTATATCCCAAATATTAATACGTAATAAGTTGCTATTTAGAAATAGAAAACCAAACCATCATTTTGTGTCCGGTACAGTCTTATGCCAATAGTAGTTTATGCATGCTGTCAGAAACGACAGTATATTTTTAAGTCCTTACTAGAATTAGGAAATTTTCACAAGTGAGATTTTAAATAATTATTTCCAGTTAAGATTGAGGTTCTTTGATTATTATGGAATCGAACTTTTCAACTTCAGGCTTCATAAGCATTTTGAAACTCTCTATCATAAATATTATTGTTATCTGGCAATGAAGGTAACGATCACAGATAGGTGATTTTTTTCTTTTTTGTAGCATGCTGTTCTTGCTAATAAAATGGGATCGACCCAGTGCAATATTTTTCCCCATTTTAGAAACAATTACTGCGCAGGCATTGCTTGATATCCTAAGTCTTGCAATGATACCTTACGATGGTCTTACTCGAAAAGTAGGTAGCAGCCATCATAGATAGATAGATAGATAGATAGATAGATAGATAGATAGATAGATACTAAAATATGAAATAGATAGATAGATAGATAGATAGATAGATAGATAGATAGATATTGCTGATTTTAAGAGAATACGGATGGACAAATGTATGATTATTAAATATTTCCGTAATCTTTTGATTGGGAAAGAAGTGACTGCTTAAGACATCAGCATAACAAATCCTGTGTATACCCCGCTCTCTCTCTATATATATATGCATATATGGATAAACAGGTTTGCCTATTTTAATTTCTTTACCGGTGTTATTTTATCGATACGAATGGTAGCACACATAAAACCACAAAAATAAAGAAGAATGTCTTGAAAGTATCTTTTTTCTTATTAAGCATTTGTTGTAAATCTATTAAATACAACTATTCCTTTGCTGCTCTCTTGCCGATTGGTAATGGTGATAATTGTCGTTTCCTTATAAGGAAACATACGGCATTCATTGAGAAATCGGTTGTATACATTAGGCAGTTTAGATATTTCTGAACGGGTTGGGCATTATCCATGGCATCCAAATAAAAATGTTGAACTGACGAGGTTATTTAAGAACGTGACTCGAATCTTTCAGGTTTTTATTTTTATTTTGTAGTAATTTATAATGTTAGGTGAAGGAGCCGCTAACAAAAGCTATTCTAGGTTCAATTTCCTTGTCTCCTGAAGTCAATTTGTTGTAACTGATCCATACACCCAGGTATTTGATGTATTTTGGATTTACTAAATCTTCTAAAGAAGAAATAAATTTGGGTGTATATTGCGTCCATGACAGACAGTGATATTTCCTCAATTCACGTCTTTTTATGTGAGGATATTTTCCAACCTTCCCTATGCCATATTGGAGGATTGAAATTGCATAGCAGGTCAGTGCTCTTTTCTCTGTTTCTAACGATACTTTCGTGTTTCTTAATACTTTGCTGAGTTTATGAAAAGCATATTTGGCTATTCCAATGTGCCATCGGATTTCGGCGTCACGTTTTCAGTCTTCTGTTAAAACATTTCCAGGATATATGAACTTCCGTATTTTTATTATGGCATCATCAATTCACAGCTTGCTTCCTGAGCTATTTCTTTTGCTAACAACTTTAAATTTTATCTATAAACAATTGTTGGTTAGTCCTTTCTTCAAGCCGTCCTTTACTATTTTATTTAGTATTTTTCGCTTTCTGTGTCTGCCATCGACACAGTGTTATCTGCGTATCTTACGTTGTTAAGATTCGGACGAGTTGAACATTTCGACAAAGCCAAATTTTCACCCTCTCTTCGTTCCTCGGCGTCGTGGTGTGCGATTTAAAAGTTATTTCGACAGGAGTTATCTGATGCACTACTCTTGATAGAGCCTTTGCAGTTTTGGTTTTGTGATTGCTAATGAGGTCTGTTTCTTGTTAACTCGGCTTCCTCTAGATACTGTTGTCCATGTCAAGAGTATACTTGAGATTGTGCACAATGTGCAAGGACACGCCAGCTATGTTGGGAATGATTTTTATGGCTTATCTGTGAACAGAAAAATTGACATTCTTTACGATTTGTCCGTCTGTGAAGCTATTTACCGATTTTTCTTTCTTTAAAAAATTAGGTGTGTATTAATTGCTGACAGTACACCTTTTGTTCTGTGTTTTGTTTCCCGTCATTTGGTGGAGTAGTCCGTGAGAACTTTTAGTCTTAAAATGACAAGTTATATTTTCTCACCCGATATATATATATATATATATATATGGAGAGAGAGTGAGGTTGCGTCACTGTACTCTAGCTTATTTGTAAATTTTCCTCGCAGATCATTATCACAAGGATCCACACCGGGTGCGCCATAAATGTGACCTTTTACCTAACGAATTTGCTCTATTTATGGGGGGGGAGCACTGATTATCAGGGAGAGAATGGTTGTCGATATAAACAGTGTGAACAGATAAACGTTGGAACATATGGTCTGAGCAATCGCTTAAGGTTGAAAATTGCCAGTCACTATACGTGTTGATCTTTATGTCTACACTGTTTATATCTATATCTAGCTATATACCTGGAATTAATGAACTTACGAATACAATGTATTTAGAGAATCGTTGATAAAAGTCGAATCTGCAATGTTATTGGTACTGATCTGGTATCACGGCTTCAGTCACTCCCGCCTGCCTGCCGTAGCCTAGCTTCTCTGTGCCTGTTGTAAAAATATTTTCATGGTAATTGTTATCACAAGTTTTCTTCTTTAAAACTTAGACTTTATGAATTTAATCATAATACTAGCTTGGTGATAGGGTCTTATCATTTTACAGTTGAAATGGCTAGACGTAATCGTTAGTTTCCTCCAGTTCTTTCACACTATAACCACTGGCGTCTTAGTGGGTTAATTTCCGTTGATTTGTGGGTAGGGAGGGAATAAAAAATACAACCCCCAAAAAGTAAATCCTGCCCAATGGATAGAAAATGATTATAATAAAATACGCTCAAGAAAGCTACGTTAATTTAAAACGACACAAAGTATTCCACAAACTACACGAGGATATCTTTTTGTCATAGAATAGTAGTGTCTCTTAGATATTTTGTATTCTATCTATCTATCTATCTATCTATCTATCTATCTCCAGATCAAAGCTAAAATGGAGTACTGCTGCCAGAGTTGGGCTGGCGCTGTCCAGTCTTCACTTTCCAGTCTTGATATAGTTCACCGTATAATGGTGATAAATTATTTTCTTGTCCACACGCCCTATCCTACAGACGAAGCGTTGCAATCTTCTCACTACTATATACTTATTTCTTTGGCAGATTTTCTTACGAGCTACATTCCTTAATTCCTCCAGTTGTGACCTTCACAGCGAAGACACTCCATCCCAAGTACATTGGAATTAATCATCCGCATTCCTTTCGTATTAGCAAGGACAGCTTCTACCCAAGAATTGTTACTTTATGCAACAGACTCTTGAGTGTATGCTTCCCAGATCACTACAATTTTGATCTCTTTAAATCTAGTGTCATCCTTCATTTATATATATATATATATATATATATATATATATATATATATATATATATATATATATATATATATATATATTGTACAAGTTTCAACAATGGATATTTTAACAATGGATATAAAATGTTTACAATTCCAACTTCTCGATCTAATTTTTTCTTCTTGGAAAATGTATTCTTTAAATATTTATTCAATTGTTACCCAACTTCAAACTGTCAGAATCAATCATTTTCGTCAAAATAATTAGGGGGGTGACATCTTAATTTGACAGTTCATTCATTCATTCATTCATTCATTCATTCATTCATTCTTTCTTTCTTTCTTTCTTAATCCTTACCAATCGGAACCTTATCTATCTATCTATCTATCTATCTATCTATCTATCTTTCTTTTTTATTAATTCTAATCTTGTCCGTTGTTATTTTTCTTTCTTCCTTTCTTTCTTTCTCATTCCTCACTGATCGTAATTTTATCAATATATTATTCTTTCTTTCCGTCTTTGTTTTTACCAATCGTAATCCTGTCTGTGGTTCTTTCTTTCTTTAAATTTACCAATTTTAAAACTTGTCTGTTATTCTTTCTTACTTTCTTAATTTCTTTCTTTCTTAATCCTTACTAATTGTAATCTTATTTATCTGTTGTTTTTCTTTCTTTCTTTCTTTCTTTCTTTCTTTCTTTCTTTCTTTCTTTCTTTCTTTCTTACTTTCTTAATTTCTTTCTTTCTTAATCCTTACTAATTGTAATCTTATTTATCTGTTGTTTTTCTTTCTTTCTTTCTTTCTTTCTTTCTTTCTTTCTTTCTTTCTTTCTTTCTTTCTTTCTTTCTTTCTTAATACTTGCCAATCGTAATCTTATTTATCTGTTTTTCATTCTTTTTAGCTATATTTTTTAAAACTTTTTGTTATTACTTTTACGTTCATGAATTTATTTTTCACTGAATTTTTATTTTTCAAAACAATTCTTTCTCCCCCCCTCTATCTTTATGCACATTAGCATAAATATTTTCAATTTTCTTTCCCTTTTTTAAAATTTAAATGGCGTCTTTTCTTCATACGTGCGTTGCTCTGCGTATGCACAAGTGTTCTTTTTTTTGTTTTGTTTTTCTTTTCATCGCTTGCTTCTTTTCTATTCGCATTTTTTCCTTGAACTTCGTCTGTCAACGTCGGCTACTTTCGTATTTATTGTCAACAGCTGTAAGAAAATACGAGATAAGATTAAGAAACGATATAAAAAAATATAAAGCAATAGCGAGTCTCTCTGTCTATTTCTCCATCACATACTCTCACATTTTATAACTTCTATCTACATCTCTCTCACACACATATACTCTCACATTTTTAACTTCCATATCTATCTATCTATCTATCTATCTATCTATCTATCTAATTATACATACATACATACATCTATCTATCTATCTATACATGCATATAATTATACATACGTACATCTATCTATCTATCTATCTATCTATCTATCTATCTATCTAAATAATCATACATCTATCTATCTATATAATCATACATCTATCTTTCTATATAATTATACATTATTATCTATCTATCTATCTATCTATCTATCTATCTATCTATCTATATAATCATACATCTATTCATCTATGTAATCATACATCTATCTATCTATATAATTATACATACATACATACATACATCTATCTATCTATCTATCTATCTATCTAATCATACATCTATCTATCTATATAATCATACATCTATCTATCTATATAATCATACATCTATCTATCTATATAATTATACATACATACATCTATCTATCTTTCTATCTATCTCTCTCTCTCTCTCTCTCTATATATATATATATATATATATATATATATATATGTATTGACATGCCAAAACAAAAGTCGTGATGTACGTGCGTAGCAGCCAGTAGAACGCATCCAGATCGACACGACATTAGTTGTACAAGTGTGGAAAAGCTTCTGGGGAGATATTGAACTATGCAGTTTCCAGTATTTGCAAGAGTGAAATTGTGCACAAGCAAACCTTTCTACTACGTCCGCTAAAACATCGTTTGGACTCGTGTCGGGTGAAATTGTTGCCTCTCGTCCCTTACCTCATTTCTCGAAATTATCTTAATTTTTTTTTAATACCAGTTCTAAACTACTTAAGCGCAATAACACAGTTCTTTATCTTGCTGGAATAACCCAGCGAAGGTTTGGTGAAATTCAAGAGCGAAAATTCAGTTGAGGTTTCTTCAATGTAAATAAAGAAATGATAGCACATATTTTTTTTTCTAATTTCCATTATGGTGTTATTTCAAGATTCTTGAAATTGTCTGC